AGTAACACAAAGTATTCTGCAACCCATCACAGCAACATCAGCTCCGACTGGTCCACGACAATCCACATCCCATTTAATCCACCGTTTTCCTGTCTGTTATTTGCAGTATGATTACCATGATACAGTGTTGCCTTTGGCTGATTTAATGAAGCATCATGTTGAGATATAAACATCTTTAATCCAAGATCTTTTTTGCCCAGATTTATGCCTTTGGGATAAAATGAGCCCAGTGCTGTGATACTTATGGTACTTTATCACATTAATGCAGTGCATACATTTAATTATTTTCTACTCAGCTGACAATGTGTAATGAAGAGTTTGGGACCTAAACATTTAAATATATGTTTTGACTATTGTTGGCCATTCCTTCTGATAACTTTCTGTGGTACGACGTTATTAGGACGCTGACGTCACGGAGCACGCCAGCAAGTGTTACGCAACACTGTGATCCCCGCCTACTTGCTCATCACAACAAGTGTCTTAGTCGAGTGAATGTGCACGTCATTGTCTTAAAGTGTTGTTGGTGCAAGTATTGTAGGCACAGGTGTAAATGGTATGTGTGCATTGATGATAAAACCACTCTCCCAAGACTGCTCTGAAATTTCTCATATTTTTCATTTAAACTATAACGTTTGTGTCGGTGGGGGTCTTCAGTCTTCAGTCTAACATGTCCTGCATGTTGTGATTCTCCAGGGGAAAATATCTGCTCTGGTAAATTTAACTAAAAAACAGAATAGATAGTATAAATTAAAAATGTCTTACACTCTAAAGCCTTACTCATGTTTGCCTTGTATCGTGAAGAGCACTCTTAATGGGAGTACTTTCTTTAAAAAAAAAAAAAGATGTTTCTATAAAATGTTTTTATCTGTGGGATGAAAGTGATTTGTAACAATATTGTGCCATCTGTTTTTGTCTACATGTCACTAGCAAAACATGTGAAATTGTGTTTCACTGACCTGGTGCTCCGCTTTCAGCAGTTTTGCTATTGTTGCCTTCTCCAAAGGGTACGTTCAGGTCTTCAAATCAGCAAGATCTAGTGTTATTATCCAACTGTGTTTTTTATGATTGTCTCTAACAGTCACTTCTTCTTCCTTGCAATAAATCATTCCTGTATGCCTGTTAAGGAAAACTTCACATTACCACTGCCATGTCATAATTTCTGTCCATTCAGCAACCCCTGTAATGGCCTTAGTGTAATATTGATAGATTAATTTAACTGTCAAAATTTGCATTTTGATAATTGTCTTTATTAATATACCAACCTTTGTATGAAGACTTATCCAAGATTAATAAAGTGAAGCATTCCTACAGTACAATACTGTACTAATATATCAATAAAGATGTGTTGAGCTGCACAGTCAGAAGATTTGAACTTGTGATGACCACTATTTTAACACCACCTTCATCCAGCCCTGTGATATATACAATATAGAAATGTGATTGTTCACATGGCGTCTGGCCAGAGAAATCTGCCCACAGTGTATCTGGAGCCATTTCCTCTCATTAGTCTTTTATTTATATCTCACTCGGGAGAGGAGAGACCTCAGGCCTCTCACTGTGGCTGTCAGACACCCAGAGAACACAAGAAAGCTAAATATAGAAAGCACCAAACCCTGATTTCCGCTCTTGGAGCATGGACTAACTATTTTGGGAAAATGTCTGCTTAGCCTGAAAGTCTGTTTTCATTCTGTGTAGGTGGCCACTCGGGTCTTTCTGACCTTGTTTCTGTCCAGCTGGTGTCGTGCACAATGGGAAGATCACACAGGAATAACACTCATTATCACCTATTGTAACAACTGCAGAAAAACTGAATTACATATGATGGTTCTGACACTTAAAACAGACTAATGATGAAATAACATTGTCACCTATTATTTATTGTTGAGAATTGACTAAAATATAAATAGACTTGGCTTTTCTCGTGTCAGTTTCTCACGGCTGGAGCTCTTTTTCTTGAAAGATCAAATGTTGCTGCAGGAAAAACCAGGTGCATTAGCATTGTGTAGACTGAAGAACACCGTCATTGAATGCCAAATATAGCACACACAGTGAATTCAATCACAATGCATGCTTACCTCTCTAGTGGTGTTCTCATGATGCACGAATATGACACAGACTGCCTGGATATTCTCTGTAAGCATGAATGCCCCTGAAGGCCACCAGGGCACAGCCTCTGCAGTAATCCCAGTTTGTCATTGTGCAGCAATGTGAGAATCACAAGGGGGGGGGGGGGGCATGTGGCCAACGGCTGGCTGGCAGGCAGGCAGGCTGGCTCACTGACCATGTGCCTCACCGTGAAAATCTGTCCTGGCAGTTACAGTGTCAGTGTGTTGGAATGTGCTGATGTGGGGGAGAGGAAGGGGAGGGAGGGAGGACCGGAGGGTGAGGATGGTGGGTGGCGGGTGTGGGCTGATGGAGCGGATTGCAGTGGCACCTCTGTTCCTCTGGTCGGCCCATCTGCTTAGAGAAATACACAAAACAGATATTCTGGTCTACTTTAACCAACTCTCTAACTACATTTGCAGCCGGTAAATTCCCAGTGTCACATCTCATTCATATTCTACAGCCATAAGCAGTTGTGGAAAGTACAAGTCTTTAGGCACTTGCACATTTCCAGTTTATGCTTCTGTAAACTTCAACTCCACTGCGTGTTGGATAGAAATATTACACATTTTGCTCAACACTCTATAGTTTGTAGTTACTTAAGTAAAGGATGGTGAAGGATACGTTCTTCCTTTCTGCAGCAATGACTTGCAAACCTTAAGGGAAATTCCACCATAAAGTGGATTGTATTTCCTCAGTGATGTCAAGTTCAGTTTGGATTAGTGGATTGAGTTAGTGAATAGTATAATACAGCAGTCCCACAATAAATCCTACCTGGATGAAGGTTGCAGTTTTCAGTTTTGAATGGCGTTTCTATTATTTACTCTACCCTCATCGATATAATGAGTTAGATTGATTGAAAAACACTTCTCAGTATGACACAGGTGAATTCAACATCACCACAAACTTCAGACAAAAACTGTAAAACATTATAATCTTCATAACGGAGGATTTCCTGTAAGACAGTTGTATTAGACTGTATTAGTTTTAGTCAGGTGTACCTAAGAAAAAGATGACTGAGTGTATATTTCATGGTTGATTTTCCCTTTTATTCTGCAATAGTGTTATCTGCACTTGATGTTTACCTTCTCCGTCCCTACATGATCAGTGCACTGATTTCTGTGTGCTCTTAATCTTTTCTACAGTGAGCAAGTATAATACATTTCTATATACATTAAACCCACCGGCTTATGTTATGCAATATGTTCCCAGTGTGCACCACATATGACAATTCAAAGTGCACTGTGACTTTTCAGATCATCAAATTCTTCTCTTATTTTAGAAACACCTAGATAACACTTCTCTTGAACTTTGACCTACAATACAACACAGCCCGCAGGCACCACTGACGATATGTTAAACCTAAACCTTTCTGGGGACTGACTTCACTGCAAGGTAAAAGTAGCTTCACGGCACTTACATCAGCCCTCCCATGCTCCAATCTTAAAATAACCTTTTTCCTTTCATCACAACAATGCCACATTACACGAGTTAGCGTCACACCCCACAGTCACGAGCCAGGCAACCTTTCACACAGTGCCAAGTGGAACCGCAGGACCTGAGGTTATGAGCTGTTTTAAGTGTATTTTAATCATTTTCACAAAATGCCACAATGTGTCAGTGATTCTTTAAAATACTATATGTCCTTAAAGCTCTCATTATATAGATTAATTAGTGTTGCCTGTGTGTTATATAAAGGTATACATGTTGTCCTCAAACATTATATTTATTAAACTTGGTTATATTGATATACTGTTATATAGTTATGGCAGCAAAATAAACAGTTTAAGTTTATTTAGTTTGCCTTAAAAGTTAAAAGTTTTATCATTATTATTTAAGTATCACAAATTGAGATTCTAAATCTTTAGCATGCGTACATCTCTGCTGCCAACACACACATGCATGTCCATCCATTTCTTTTGCTTGCTTATCTTCGTCAGGGTTTTGAGTTTTGGGTCCACCTAACCTGCATCGACTGTGGGAGGAAACCCAAGTAGCAGAAGAACACATAAACGTACCGTGAGAGCGACAGAAAATAATAAAGGGGAAACATTAAAATAACTGATGGAATGTTTAGTAATTGTTCCACTACTGATGGTATCTGTAAGGTTTTATAAAGTATTAGATTGAATAAAATCACATGGTCTGTCTCACATGAGACATTGAACTGGGTTGTGCAACTCAAGGACAGCCTTCGCCTCCTCTCCTCTTGTGATCATGACTCTGCACATTCAGAGGGGATTGCCTGATGACATCACCGTCATTCAACTCCACAGAGATCACCTGCGTGTGAGACACAGTTGGAAAAGGAGAGGAGCGGGAGTGTTTACACCGTCTTGCACAACAGATTGCATGCCAGTGCCTCATTTCCAAAAATTTCCAAGTTTCAGTCATGTGCTCTGCTGTAAATCACACCATATATTCTGGTCCCAGGGGCAGAGGGAGTTAGCAACATAAATAGCAGGAAAACACCTGATGCAACCTTGCTGTCTGAATAATACGCACAGAACTCTTATATTATGAATATTCTTTTTAATGCAATATGTCAAATATAGACATTGCAAGTCCATATTCCTTCTTTAACTGTGCAGCATGTGTGCAATTGTCACATGCTCGTTTCTGGGAAGTCAGCTGGTGAAAATGCAAACTAAACTGTCCAACAAATCACTGAAAATTGGTGAAAAGGGAACCTGTTTGGATGAATGAACATGTTCCTGCTGACTGAGGCAGAAGCCTGTGCAGAGAGCGGTGAGGATTATTGTTCTCTTCAGCTCAGAGATGGCGCTGAGGCCACAGAGGCCAACATGACCCCTGTGATCCGCACGTGACTCCTCTTTTACAACTGCTAAAGGTCAGAATTCAGCTCGGCTTTACTAAAATTTCCAGAAATGAAAAAAAAGAAAACACATGTAGTTCTGGCTCCAAAAATACTTTTTATTGACAGCAATACATATGTGTATGTTGTATTCAGATTTTGCAAATAGTTAAGGTAAAAAATGAAACATAAATACACTTAAATATCATTAGAAATAACTTAAAATTGTAACAAAAGAACTATTTTACTTGTGGCAAAAAACCAGCTGGCATAGGAAACACTTAATACACAGAATGTCTTCACTGGATGTGTAGCCCTTCCCTTTTTAAATTATGACAATAGCAACACCAACATTAACAATTTAAATCAAATAAGTGAAATTGCAAAAGGTCCAGTGTTTCAACAAGTGCTTTGTTTCTGCAGAGAGAGGCCGAGGCCTTGGTCCACTCAACAGCTCCATGTTCTGGTTTCTCCCCACTTTTCTGACTCGTCACAGAGGCTTTACCAAACAAATACATGATATAATCCTTCTGTACAGTGTCCAGCTTCACATTAAAAAGCACACATGCTTTTTTTTAATTTCCACCTCATGACGATACAAGTGCCTCGCCATCTCATCTCAGTTGCAAATGCTGACAGACGCAACTCCAAACAGTCCTGTCCAAAGTGGAAATTCATCCTCCTGCCTTTGTTTCTTTTAAATACATCCCATGTAGACATCAGGGTCTTTTTTTTCCTCCAAAATTTTCTTTCCCCATCAGCAGTGCTTTGGAATTTGATCTCTGGGTGGTAATATGTCCATCAGGGTTCACACCACTCTTCCTGTGCTGATAAAAGTCCTTTCACAGGTTTTTGCAGCTGAAAGTTCATCGTTCCGGCAGGTTGATGATAGGTACCCACTGGTCCATACAGCGGCTCTCTCTGCAGAATCGGTTCACTTTGCTCAAAGCAGGGTCCTTCCACGATGTAGAATGTGGGCTCTGAAAACATGAATAAAAAGAATAAATGATTTAAATGCTTTTACATGAGTACCTCTGCACTAAGTTATAAATAGTCCCTGTGTGTGCATATACAAGGTATTTCCTTCTACTGAAATTCTTCAGGAGTCATATGAGGGAGGAGTCATACACATGTTTACCGAATGCACAAGAACAAGTACTGGCAAGTTCTTCCTTGAATAAGAATTTCACTCATGTGCACATGCCTCAACATCTTGTATAAAATCACAACATGGTAAAATCCATGTAGTTATCAAACATATCGATTGATGAGAAAAGATACTTACTGTGACCAGGACACAGTGAAGGTCCATAGGTTCACCCCCACTCTGTTTCCCACCTCCTCCTCCACCCAGTATTTCTGCCAGGCGCCTGGTGTTGTTGACTCTGAGGATGTTGATGTCATTTTCACAGCAGAAAGCCTGAATGAGGGTAAAGTGGATCTGCAGGGCCACATCTTTCACATCTTCATCATCGGTAGCCAGGATGCACAAAACCACATTATCAGGGTCACTGAGGGGGGGGGGGACAAGACAGATATTCTTAGTTTCCTCATATTTCTAACAAAGCACAGTATATGTCCTGTCACACATATGTAAGTAAACTAAACGTGTACATATACGTTAGAGGGTTTTTTTTGACAGTGTTAGAGATCTTTAACAACTGTCAGTAGGTCAGTAACTTAGCGTTAGCAGATATAACCTTGTACTTACACATTGAGTGATTTGGCAGCCTCGTACACACCGACTGTAATGCAGCCCTGTGGTAACGCAGAGGTGAGGACTTCTTCCAAAGCTTTCGCCACTGAATCCATTCTGCAACACAGAAGTATAGTTCAACGTTTACATCGTTACAACAAAAACTTTCCACCGTCCGTTTTTTTTTTTTCTGCTAATGTTAGCTGGACTCCTAGCTAACCACTCAGCTACCGGCACAACTGGCAGATGTGCACAAGTTGGTGTCGCCACGTAAAAGGTTCAGTTTCAATCATGTCACGGTTGAAATCGCTTTGACAGCTGTAGGAAAGTGGAAAGACTTATTTAAGACAGCCAGGTCAAGTTTTCTGACACTTTTTTGTTCACCTACATCCTGGGTGCAGCGTTAGCTAACCTAGTTATCGGAGAGAGAGGACCGTGTCGCGACCACGTCTCAACAGTTAACAGATCAAACACTGTATATTAATATCTACAGTAGCTGTCAGGACGCTGCACGTTAGTAATTACAACAGCAAAAGCTCTGAAATTACCTTAATCTTGCATTAATCTGTTTAATGCATGTAATGTTGCTGCACACAAACAGTAATATGTTGGTAACGATCAGTTTGGCTGGTTGACAGCGGTAACGTTAAATACGCATCGACGTTACATCGGAATAAATGTATATTTACCTTTCTTGAGAATAATCTCCACTTAGTTCTTCAAATGTCATGTTGTACATAAAATCCAAATCCACCTTAGAGCAGGGAGTACAGTACTGGGGAGTTATCCCGGTATCTTCTCGACTTGACACACTTTTTATCTTTGGTCTACTATGCTGCAACTGAGAGATAAATCTGGCAACTTCACATTAAAACCGTCTGGGACAATACAAGTCAGGCGAATATTTGCATAGCTGTGATCATTGGTCGCATGCTAATTTTCCGGGTGTGCTCTCAAGTAGGATTGGACGGACACGCACCACCAGGCGTGTCTGTCTCCAACCGAGTTACTGCCGTAACTGCAGCTGTCTGACTGCTGGCCTCTTAACATTTGGACAAAAATAAAAATATACTCAGAAGCCTGGCTGCAACACACCTCTTGCCCTGCTGGAATAACTTGTGCACATCTGTAACGTCAATTTTACTGGTGAACATCTAATACCCCCAAATCTTGCACACAAACACGTCTAACTTGACAGCAACGATGGTTTCTGACAGTGTAAGAACAACCTGAGAACACACGGGAATCTACATTTAAGATATAGTGAATTGGTGAATAAGTGAATTAATATCTGTTTCCTCGTCGTATGTAATAAAGTAATGGATGGGTAATGTGTTGCAGGACTCACCCTCGCTGCCGGACAGGACAGGACAGGTTTCAGGACAACTGCATGGCAACGGGACGCTGCTTCGGAAAGCTGCCCCGTGATTGGTCCGAATGCGGAGCGTGCGAAAACCCATCGAAACCGCGCGCGAGATCCAAAGGACTGGCGCGAGAAAGTCAGGAGCTTGGAACCAATCCTAACCAAACTACTGTTACACACCTGACTTACTCCTGTTGGGCATTGATGAAAACTGGGTCAGATTCCTGGCTACAACTGTTTCCACTAAATACCACTTGTTTACCCTTTATTTATCGCTGTTTCTATTTAGGTTTCTATTTGAATATAAAAGTAAAGTTAATATAACATGTATTGGCAATCCTGTTATGAATATGTTGAATGAAAATATTATTATTAATATGAAAAAATATTAATTCAAGAGTTTACTTTAAAAAAAAGTACATGTTGAGCAGAATAGCCCCTTTAAAAATGTTATTAAACATATATCATATTATTGGAATATTATTACTTATGCATTAACACATAAGCAGTATTTTAGTATGACAACTGGTCAAGGTGGAGCTAATTTTTGCTACTTTATGTACTATTGGGATTAATCTAACAGATCATCATGTTTTATAATTTAAGTATAACTGGTAATATCAGACTTTGCTTTATGACACTGCAGATTTATAGAGGAGTTTGAAATCTGTTTCCCAACAGTTTTGAACAAATCTGTGGCAATGCATTTTACTAATTTGTTTTTCAAGGAAGTTTTGTTGTAGTTCATCCAGTCAATGTGACATAACTGTCACTTCAACAACCCTGCTCAATGTTTGATTTTATTTTCATTTCCTGGTCACTGTGAGTGTCAATTTCATAATATTCTTTATATGCATGGGAAGTTACATCTAGAAGATAAATAGTAGATAACGGCTGCATCAATTAATCTGAAATAATCAATTACCAAACTAGTTTCCAGTAGTTGTAGTAGCCAATTCATATCACTGTGATACATAGAAATGATATCAGGGAAGTTAAAATTGAATGTTATGCTGCCCCTTGGTGGTTGCAATCAGAACTCACTGAGAGACTGCAGCAGTACACAAACACTCTCCTCTGTTATGATTAATACATTGCACAGTGCATTAACCATGACAGAAGCTCTCTCTTCATGCACAGTGTTTACAGTTTGGGCTCTTTGGCTGTAACACAATCTGTGTGAGGGTGTTAGTCTGGTTTACTCTGTAATCCTTTAAATCACTTCTGTAACTTACTCTTACAGATGTGCTTTCTTAAACTGATTTTAATGACCTGTTAACCCTAGTAGTTATTTTAATAACATTTTCACTCTGTGTTTATGTACATTATATAGACATTCCGTTTCCAACCTGATTTCATTTACATATTTACACCCTGATGGCAGGTGATGAGACTGAATAAAAGATTGTAGCTGCTGGACCTTCCAGTAAGAGGCAGCACTAGCACACGTCACACACATGCACTGTATGACTCTTCTCTGCTAATGTCTGTCTGTTTATTGCACTTTTAAATTCCTCTGTTGATTTTTTGTCTCATCATGTGCTACATTTCCACAATGTAAACCCACATTCACCCTTTGAACAACCATCAGCATAAGGTCTTTACATTTAATCGGGGCATTGAATACTTGGCCGCTGCGCTCACTTGTCACAACTTTCCTAAGAGTTTCTGTGTCTATATGATTTCAGACACCATACCATCTCTAAACCTTGATGTTAGTTAAACGCATGCATTGTAAAGGAATCGTCCACACATTCACGCATAGATGATCAGTATAGACGGCGAAGACTTTACATGAGGCCCTTGGGTCACACTGTTGCTCTTACCGGAGGAGACGCTCAGGCAGCTCCACTGGACACAGCTGCATCCCTGCGGTGATAGGGCTGGAGACAAGGCTGATGACAGAGACCTTGGATGGTCAGTAACAAACGAATGTCTTTTTATGAAACCAGCATATGGTCGTGTGTATATCATGCTTGATTGTTATGTTTAACAAACCAACAGAATGCCCACACATCCCTCTGTGTCCTGAGATACGATCAAACATGGGCATGGGTTGTTTCTGGGAATGTTGAGAACTGAATAAAGACTAACCACAGGGGACCTTTCAGGTAGACTCGAGGTGGCATCATGCACTGCAACATGTACTGATGATACCTCTGTTATGCTTGGCCAAGTTTCAATAAACATCCTCAACGTGAGGCATCCTGGGCACCGTCACACTTTCTTCATTGAGGCCTTAACCATCCATAATAAGTAAGAATCTCCCTATTGTGAATGTGATGCACTATGCCACCCATGGTTGAACGTCTCGTTTGTCAGTTGGCCCGTGTCCTGGAGTCTCTGCTCGCGTGTTGCGCATACATTGTGAGTAAATGCAAGTAGCAGTAGCTAACTATCTAGTTTGTTAAATACACTTTATTTTCTTAACTTCAGAGTTTCTGAATTAGATTGTGTCAAGAATACACAGATGAACGCTAATGTTAGGTAGTTTCTAACTTTTTCCTGAAGTTACAGTTTAGCTAACTGATGTTAGCTAGCGCCCTTTGATTTTCAGTGTTGGCTTGGTATTTACCAATATGCCATATATTATCTACTTTAAGCAAAAACAGACAATGGAGGATTAGTTGATGTGGAGATACACTTTGACATTACATTTCATGCATTACAATACTATGATGTTGTTATGACATTTCATGCCTTACTATACTAGTATGTTTTGTTGACATTTTATGCCTTACTTTTTTATGTCTTATTTCAGTATGATGTTTCTTGCCGTTTTTATGCCTTATTATAATGTGAATCTTTATGCCTTACTATACTATGACGTCTTTATGACATTTGATGCCTTATTATAGTATGACTTTTGTTTGACATTTTTATGCCTACATATTTATGACATTTTATGCTTTACTATACTATGATGTTTTTATGACATTTCATGTCTTACTATACTATTATGTTTTGTTGACATTTTATGCGTTACTATACTAATACTTTTTTATGACTTATTACAGTATGATGTTTCTTGCCGTTTTTATGCCTTATTATAATGTGAATTTTTATGCCTTACTATACTATGATGTATTTTTGAGATTTTATGCCTTAATATAATATTTCGTTTTTTGACATTTTTATGCGTTACTATACTAATACTTTTTTATGACTTATTACAGCATGATGTTTCTTGCCGTTTTTATGCCTTATTATAATGTGAATTTTTATGCCTTACTATACTATGATGTATTTTTGAGATTTTATGCCTTAATATAATATTTCGTTTTTTGACATTTTTATGCCTACATATTATGACATTTTATGCCTTATGACGTTTTTTGACATTTTTATGCCTTAATATAACATGACATTTCATGCCTTACTATAGTATGACTTTTTTATGACATTTTATGCCTTATGACGTTTTTTGACTTTTTTATGTGAGGTATTTTTTTACTGTGAGGTATTTATGACATTTTATGCCTTACTATACTATGATGTATTTTTGAGATTTTATGCCTTAATATAACATGACATTCCATGCCTTACTATAGTATGACTTTTTTATGACATTTTATGCCTTATGACGTTTTTTGACTTTTTCTTTTAGGCATTTTTTTACTGTGAGGTATTTATGACATTTTATGCCTTACTATACTATGACGTTTTAATGACATTTTATGCCTTACTATACTGTGACGTTTTCATGACATTTTATGCCTTACTATATATGACGTTTTTATGCCTTATTATACTATTACATTTCATGTATTACTATACTACAATGTTTCTATGACATTTCATGCCTTACTATAATATGACTTTTTAATGCCCTAATATAGTGTGATGTTTTTTGACGTTTTTATGCTTATTATACTATGACATTTCATGCCTTACTGNCTTTTTTATGCCTTATTATACTGTGACGTTTCATGCCCTACTATACTATGACATCTTTACGACATTTGATGCCTTATTGTAATATGACATTTTTATGCCTTATTATACTATCACATTTCATGCATTACAATACTACGATGTTTTTATGACATTTCATGTTTTGATATACTATTATGTTTTTTTGACATTTTTATGCCTTATTATACTGTGGCATTTCATGCCTTACTATGCTATGACATCTTTACGACATTTGACACCTTATTATTTTATCATTATCATTTTTCATTTTTTATCATCATATTATCATTTTTTGACATTTTTATGCCTTACTATACTATGACGTCTTGAAGACTTTTTTATGCCTAATTGTACTATGACATTTTTATGCCTTATTATACTATTACATTTCATGCATTACNCAACACTTTTTTATGCCTTATTATAGTATGATGTTTTTTGATGTTTTTATGACTTATTATACTGTGACATTTCAAACCTTACCATACTATGACGTGTTTATCACATTTGATGCCTTATTATAGTATGAACTTTTTTTAAAATTTTTTATGCCTAACTACACTATGACGTTTTTATGCCT